TATGAAGCAACTGAAGGACAACAAAGTTAAGAAATATTTGCAGCTAACCAGCTAGAATGGTAAGACTGAGATCCAAGCCCAGCTCTTTCTCACTCCACAAAAACACACTCCAGTTTGGGCATATCACCTTATCTATCCTATTGATAGGAGTAAAAGCATTATTTGAACTCTTTAGGAAACACCATTGCTACTTTTTGTTTTGGAAATTCTTTAAACTTCTTTTTTTAATTAATTTATTTATCCATGAGTGACACATACAGAGAGAGGCAGAGACCTAAGCAGAAGGAGAAGTAGGCTCCATGCAAGGAGCCCAATGTGGGACCTCGGGATCGCTGGGATCCCGGGATCTCGCCTGAGCTGAATGCAAATACTCAACCGCTGAGCCACCCAGGCATCCCAGGAAACTCTTTAAACTTAACTAATATATGAAGTAAACTTAAATGATAATGAGTTAACTGAAATATTTATGTGTTACATACCTCAATTCAGGTAGGAAAAAAACTGTGTTCTTGTGTGTTTTTTTTTTTTATTTTCCTCTTGACTCCCACCATTACTGTATAAACAACCTGTCTTTCTTCTTCCTACGCTTTAGCATCTTTTCAAGCCAGTTGCTGGATTACCATTAAACTTTTAAATGACATGTCATCTCCCTCATCTCTAATAAAGCTGTATCATTTAATAAACTGTGTAAATTATCTACTATAAAAGATATTAGAAGTTTTTCAGGGAAAAAAAAGAGATTGGTAAATAATTTCATCCTGTCTTCTTTTGTTTAATCCAAATTAGAGCATGTTGTTAGCGTGATTGGCTTTGTTCAAACTATTACACTTAGAAGGAGTTCTTTGAAATTCATGCTTAAAGTCATGTATGCTTAAACTAAGATACTATATAGTTTGGTCACTCTGACTGTTTACAGTATTTCCAATGTACAAGGTGGAAAAAGTCAATAGTCTACATTGCAATGTGCCAAATAAGGCACTAAAATAGCAAAACACTTGCAGCTTGTGAGAAGAGTACTAATGACATTATCTATTTATGGAACAGCACTGCCGAGAAAGAAATTCAGAAGAATCAGAGTTTAACCTGTTAGCCATGCATGTAAACTTGATTCTGTAAGCTAATAAGCACATGACATTTATTAGTAGCCAACCAAAGGAAAAAATCATCTAACTGCTTAATTCTAAATCAGGTTTTCATTAATTATATTGAAAATATATCTGGTTTTTCAACAAATGTGTTTTTCTCTGAACTCAATGAAATCATTTATTAGATGTTTGATTATATTACTTTTATGGTTCTAACAAGAATTATAGAACTTTCAAACCACAAGGGCTCTGAAAGATTAAGTCAAATTTCTACATACCGTGAATATGTTGTTTTATAAATAAAAGGATATAATTAAAATCAGTGGACTCCAAAGGGTTGACTGCAGAGATAACTGTGTCCCACTAACTTGACAAGGAAATGAATATGATCATAGGTTCCACTAATTATCTGCATGTAATTAGGAAATTTAAGCAAATTAGGAGTACTCAGTGCAAACATTGTGATCCTGATAACCAACCACAGTACCTGATGCCTAGCTATTAAAGCCTTAATATTTCTTTTTTGTTTGTTTGTTTTTCTAGCTTTATTGAGATATTATTGGCATATAACACTATATTAGCTTAAGGAGATACAACATAATGATTTTACAGTATATGTATATACTGTAAGGATTCCACGGTAAATTTATTTAACATTCATCACCTCATATAGTTGTAAGTTTTTCCTTATGATAAGAATTTTTAAGATCTATTCTTTTAGCAACTTTCAAATATATAATACAGTATTGTTAACTACAGTCACCATACCATATACCCAGAACTTATCTTAAATTGGAAGTTTTACCTTTTGACTACCTTCACCCATTTCCCCCACCCACCATCTGCCAACTCTGGCAACCACCAATCTATTTCATTTCTAGTGGCTCCATTTTCTTAGATCCCACATAAAAGTGGGATCATATAGTATGTGTCTTTCTCTGGCTTGTTTCACTTAGCATAATGCTTTCACTTATGGCTAAATATAATATTCTAGCCTGTATATTTTCTTTATCCATTCATCCATAGCCATCTATGGATGGAACAGCACAAGTTGTTCTTATGGCTTTAAAGCCTTAAGTTTTCTATTTGTAGTCTCTATTATATCTAATGAGCATTTTTAAATTTAAGAATAGTTGATGTTTATTTTTTTAAAGATTTTATTTATTTATTCATGAGAGACAGAGAGAGAGGCAGAGACATAAGCAGAGGGAGAAGCAGGTTCCCTGCAGGGACCCTGGGATCACGACCTGAGCCAAAGGCAGATGCTCAAACATTGAACCACCCAGATGCCCCAATAGTTGCTGTTTATAGACATATACTATTAAAACACACTACCTTGGGGCACCTGGGCCTCAGTTGGTTTAGCATCTGCCTTCAGCTTAGGTCATGATCCCAGTGTCCTGGGATAGAGCTCCATGTGGGGCTCCCTGCTTGGTGGGGAATCTGCTTCTCTCTCTTCCTCTGCTCCTCCTCCCCCACTTGTTTTCTCTGTCTCCCCTCTCTCCTATTCAAATAAATAAATACAATATTTTAAAAAATCAAACAAAAAGAGTAAACTAATGCTTTTTTGTGTAATTTGTTGTACATTAAAGTTGAAGGTAGGGTGACAAAAAGAGGATCTTAGTCTTTGCATTAAGTTGATATGGGCTATCTTCTCTTGAAAAATAATTTAGCAGCAATAGGAAACTTCAAAGACTGCTTTCAAATAGTAAAACAAATTTTCTAATCTGGGTCATTATGGATACTTCAATGATGAAATTATCCACAGAAAAACAAATAACATCATAGAAAGTATTATTTTGTTTTCTTGTTTCCTAAAAGTAGAAATTTTCACCAAATTGTTTACTAGTGTCTATTCCTTTTTTCCTTAAAAAGCTAAAAATCTTGAAAAATCTAAATACATTTTCTAAAAAATAAGAAGCATTAATGGACTGTGGAACAATATTGCCAAAACTTCAAAAGCAAAGATCGGCTTCAAATATCACTTGTATTTTATTCTACTCATAATTTTTAAATGACAAGAGATATTCACTAGAGAGCCACAACCTACTCTCCAACTCTAAGTTAAAGGTTCTGAACATCCTCTTTTTGGATGATGTTTGATAGCTGAATAAAATAGATAAGGATCTTCAGTGAGAGAAAGATCTTTTCTTCATCTTCAGTGAAGAAAAGATCTTCAATCTTTGTTGTCTTTCCACAACATCTATGATAATAGGGCAAGTATCCTCAAAGAAGAAGATTCAAAATCCTAATTTTAGGGACTAAACTTAGTGATTCCAATGTAATAGATGAAATGGGTGGCTCTGGTAGATATTGTGCATATTATTTAACTGTTAGTTGTCAGTGATGAATACGAAGTGCATGTGTGTGTGTTCCTTTTTTTTTTTTTTTTTACAAACAAGTGGTACTATGAGAAGCCATAGTCACATCATATCAACAAATTAACTTTCTTGACCATGTATTGATGATCACAACATTCAAAACTCCAGATAAACCATGGAGGGGCTATTTGGAATCTTAGATCACTGTTATTTTATGCATATAGTTAAACCAGCTCCACTGCCGTGTCTTACTTATGCCATGGATCAGAAAATAAATTTAGAACTAGAACTATATAACTATATATGGTGTCAAAACAAACTCATATGTTGTTATATTTAGCAATAACTAAGGCTACTGATAAAAAAAACTGAAGTTAAAAAATGATTCGCTTGCTCTTTACAAATTATATGTTCACAGTTATTGTTCTAATATCATCATTTTTTCTCAGTTGAATTTCTTGTGATTTCTTAAATGAGAGACAAAAGGGTATCCAATTCCATCTAAGTCTGAGAAAATTCATGAGAGTGAACTCCACATACGAGTAATCTTTAGTATATGTAACTGTAAAAGAAAGTTTGGTAACTGCTGCTGTGTATATCCTTCTACATGTGCATAAGCAAGACAAGAGCTCATGTTCATGGAGAAAAATGCCCAAAGACACTGAAATTTGGACCCTGATAAATAAAGGTCTTTATTTCAGTGGGGTCAATTATATATTCACAGACTTTTCTTTCCCATCTCCCTGGTGGAAAGAGATTTTTTTTTTCCTTTCTGGTGAAATATAAATTCCACTTCAGTTTTTCTGGTACATAAATGCTGCATGACTATCTACCAGTAATTAACAGCTTTTCATCCAAGTAGGTAATATATGGGAATGAATTTATTGTTTATGAGTATATTGATATCATTTAGAAACTATATGCAAGGATATAAAGGCAACACTGAAATGTAAAATTGCTAATGCAGCCTCATAGCCTGGAAAATGATTTCTTTTAATAGTTTTCTTCATTTAACAGTTCTTCATTTGAAATTGTTTCCTTTTCAACTGCAGATTTTGTGGTTTGGTGCAGTGAAGGAGAAATTTATTCCTTTGAGACATTTATTCTTTTTATAGTTCTTCATTTGAAAAAGTTTCACTGGGTGTTTATATGTATTTTGTAGTTGGCAAAGATATCCGTGATAGTTTTTTTTTTTAATGTTTATTTAACTAGGTTCTCACTCTATGGAACTGTTGCCAAGTTTCTTTAAATGGAGATTCCTGGGGGTTTTTGGTAAACAGTAATAAGTCAACCTGTGGATTTTCTAGGAGCTCTGCACGCCCTGAGACCACAGAAGAGTCACATCATTAAAAAGGAGAAAATTTGTAGAATCAAATTTAACATTTAACTCTCCCACATAGATTTGAAAGCAGAGTACCTGTTGCAAACATTTTGTTTTAATTAATTTTGAATATGGACACTCTAATTTCAAATAAATTCCGATTTTTTTGTTTGGGGATTTTACAGAACCCAAGTGGGGTCATAATGTGTTCTTACAGGGACTCTTAAATTAAATATCTACTTGTCCTGATTCTGGCCCATTTTTAATCCACAGTTCCAAAGACAGCACCTACCAATGTAAGTGGAAGAAGTGGAAGAAGGCATGAGTTAGTCATAGCCTGGGAGGTAAGAAAGTCTGTACTCAGATGTCAGAATTTATGAATTCCTTAGTAAATAAGGCTGCATATATAGGATCTACAGTTGGTATGGAGAGGCAGTAATTTCTGTTTAAACGAGATTAAGAAACACTTGATCATATATTACTCAGATGAGTATTGCCAACATGAACCTGTCTCATTTCATACCCAGCCCCAGCTGACTTTTCTCCAATCTAAAGTACGTCCTCTTGTCACATAGGCTATCTCAGAATAAAGTTTGAATAATTAAAATACGACAAATACCCACTATTTGCTTCAACGTGGATAGAACTGGAGGGTATTATGCTGAGTGAAGTAAGTCAATCAGAGAGGGACAAACATTATATGGTCTCATTCACTTGGGAAATATAAAAAAAATAGTTAAAGGGAATAAAGGGAAAAGGAGAGAAAATGAGTGGGAAATATCAGTGAGGGTGACAGAGCATGAGAGACTCCTGACTCTGGGAAACAAACAAGAGGTAGTGGAAAGGGAGGTGGGTGGGGGGATGGGGTGACTGGGTGACAGGCACTGAGGAGGGCATTTGATGGGATGAGCACTGGGTGTTATGCTATATATTGGCAAATTGAACTCACTCCAATAAAAACATATACAAAAAAATTAAAAATAAAACACATCCTCTCACAAACTACTTCCCATGTTTGTTTGGCTTAGTTTGATATTTAATTATTTCACAATTAAATAGTAGCTTTACTAAAACCATTGGGGAGAAAGGAAATGACCACCACTGAATTTGTGGCACAGTGCCTGTGTTATCTCACTTAACTCATAAACCAACCCTATTCGTAAGGAATAATTTTTCCTCATTTTAAAAATTATGAAACTAAGGCACAGTTTAAGTACTCTTTCTAATTAGCAGTAGAATTGGGACTTTGTGTTCTCTTGTCTCTCTCACAATGTGCCCTCTGAAGTTTCCTCTATGAAGGAGGCAGGAGAGAAGTGTGTGAGAGGTACATTTATTTCCCATGAAGCCACTTTCTTTTTATTGATGTTAGATTACCTTATTATCATATGTAACTATGTAACTCACAGAACTATGCCCTGAATATGAAAATGTAAAGGAGATGGAATGTCTACTGGAGCAAGTGAACAAATCCTTGAGAGTCTCTAAAACAATGATCAAATGTACAGAAAAACATTTTCCAGTAAGAAATCTTCCATGAGCATATTCTCTGTTCTGTTATTCTGTCCATCCTCCTCTTTCCAATAAAAATTTATTTCTTAATTTTGATTTCTGCAGAGGGATTAACTTCCCAATACCTCAACTTCACTGAGGTCAAACTCTCTAAATAGAACTTCCTTCTCTATCAGCTTCACATCTTAGCCCCAGTTGCTAAAACAAGAATATCATAGACTTATAACTGGCAGGAATTTATTTCTCATGGATCTGGAGCCTGAAAATTTTAGATCAAGTCCCCAGCAGATTCCAGTCTGGTGAGAACCTGCTCTCCAGTCAGCTGATGGCCATTTTCTCACTGTACCCTCACATGGCAGAGAGACCAGAGGGGCACTACTCCCAATCATAAGCACGCTGTACTCATAATCTAATAACCTACAAAAGTCCTCCCTTATTAGTACCATCACACTGGAGGTTAGGATTTCAATATATGAATTTTGAGGAGATATAAACATTCAGTATATAGAATTTTGATATAATAGGCTTTGTCTCCCTTCTGCTACTCAGTGTTTCCTCAAATCAAAACTCAAAAGAAAAAAACATGTTTCAACAAGTATTTAATGGGTATCTATGTGTTAAGCATTATCCTAGGCAGTGCCTGGTGACTGCTCCTTTGACTAATCAATCACAATTACTCCTTTGTATGGTGTACAGTTTGTGTCTGTTTAACAAATTTAATGTAAGCATACAGTATAACATTTACTTGAACAAATATTTTTTAATTTTTTCACATTAGTAAAGTGCAAAAGCAAATGAGAAATGGAACACTATTAAAAAAATTTTACATTAATATTTCCTGTTTTTTTCTGCACAAAAGGCTCTGCAGAGCATTTCCAGCAACCAGATTTTTCTGACCACCAGACCATATGACAGGTTTTCCCAATCTGCTGCAGTCTAATGTGGAATGTTCATTTCATATACATGACTAACTGGTTTAAATTTGTTTCACTTCAAGAGTTTTCAGCACCTTTGATAATCTTCTTAAATACTAACTGATATTACTTTAGTTTTTATCTTTTGCCTTTAACCCTTTTTAAATCTCCAAAGACTACTAAGTGACTGTGCTATAGTGGCTTCCAGTGTAGCATTACAAATTTGAAAGTCTCATGTTCTCTGGTTATCCATGATTTAAAATAAATAAATAAATAAATAAATAAATAAATAAATAAATAAATAAATAAATAAAGTTTGGAAGAAGTGGCTTTTTTAATCAGTTATTTTGCTGATAATTAATTGCATTTTTTCTTCTTTAGCCAGTATCTGAGGAGTTTCAGAATGGGGAGGGCTTTGGCTATATTGTGGCTTTCAGGCCTAATGGAACACGTGGCTGGAAGGAAAAAATGGTGACATCCTCTGAAGCTTCAAAATTCATTTACCGAGATGAAAGTGTTCCTCCTCTTACTCCCTTTGAAGTGAAGGTTGGCGTTTATAACAATAAAGGAGATGGACCTTTCAGTCAGATTGTGGTTATCTGCTCAGCTGAAGGAGGTCAGTTTCTCTTTAACCCTATTATTTACATTCTACATTTTATAATGGATGTTATGTGGATTTTACATAGATGAGACATTACTGTACATATATTAGAAAATACAGATACACCAAAAGAAAATAAAACCCATATTGTCATTATACTTTTTAGATATATTTTTCCAAATAATTCTTTATTTTAAAAAATTGAGCATTCCATATGTGTTGCTTTATGTTCTTTATGTTCTTCACTCTTTAACAATATATGGCAAATATATTTTCATGATAATAACAATATTAATAACATCTATAGTGTATTATTTCCTCTGGATGGACATTTAACCAATCATTCTTGCTTTTTAAATTTAGATAATATTATATTTGAACCCACTAAATTTAAATGAAATAAATGTAAATAAATACTCCCATTTATGTGACCAATAAATATTTATTACTAAACTCCTACACAAAACACCATACGAATAAAGTAGCAGACAGGGCTTTCAGTTGGAAATTTTTCACATATGACATCATGAAATCCTCATGAAAATCTTGTCTAATAGTCATTGTCTCTATTATAAAGAAAGAAATTGAAGCTGAAACGTTAATAAACTTGCTAAAGGTTACATACCCTATAACTGAGAATTAAACCCATTTGTCTAATAATCAAATCTTTGATTTTTTCTAACATGCATTTTCACATGCATGACCATTTAATTCTAAAGATAAAACTATACTATATGTTGTCAAATTGAATTTAAATTAAAAAAAAAGAAGGGCAGCCCGGGTGGCACCGTGGTTTAACTCCGCCTTCAGCCCACAGCATGATCCTGGAAAACCGGAATCGAGCCCTGTGTGGGGCTTCCTGCATGGAGCCTGTTTCTCCCTCTGCCTGTGTCTCTGCCTCTCTCTCTGTGTGTGTCTCTCATGAATAAATAAATAAGATCTTTAAAAAAAATTTTTTAAAGACTACAAAATTTTTGTTTGGCTTAAAGAATATATAGTTAATTGATACATGTGCAAGGTGTGTGGAAGTCTTGGTAGGCAAATATCTCTCCTTTCAGCATTATCTAGAGTCATTCAGGGTAATTTCTCTTTTAAAAAAAAGATTTTATTTATTTATTCATGAGAGAGAGAGAGAGAGAGAGGCAGAGACATAGGCAGAGGGAAAAGCAGGCTCCCTATGGGGAGCCTGATGTGGAACTCCATCTCAGGACTCCTGGGATCAGGCCTTGAGCCAAAGGCAGACGCTCAATTGCTGAGCCACCCAGGTCCCCTCAGGGGAAATTCTGTTGTAGAAATCTTGAAAAGTCTCCAAAGCTCAAGAGCACTAGGAGAAGAACCATTCGGAGCTTCTCTGACAGTATTCTAGGGCCACAGTCTACTTCAGAGTCACAAGAGTCAAGGTCATTTTCCAAGCAATTTATCAAGTATAAATATTATAAATGATGAGCACTTTTACTAAAATATCACATTCAAAATTTTCTATGTATTTACTATAATTTACTATAACAATGCACGTCTCACTTATTACACTTGACTTTAAGAGGATAGGAAAAGGATGGAACTATGAGAACACTTATAGAAGTATGCTCTGGATGCTCAGCAGTCTGCTTTTCCCTCTCCCTCTGCCCTTCCTCCTGCCTGTGCTCCTTCCCTCCCTCTCCTCTCTTTCAAATAAATAATTTTTAAAAATTTGAAAAACAAAAAAGAAAAAATCAGACTATCTAGATTTAATTTGCCTGGTATCATTCAAATGTCAGTCTACCAAAATAAATAAAGTGTTGCTATGAATTATGTCACAGAAACAATTTCAGTGCCTTTAAAAGAAGATAGGCATATTTCCTATCTAGTTTGAAGGAGTAATCTCCAAAGGCAAGCTATTTCAAGTTTAAGGAAACACAGTGTAAACAACTCATGGTGGTTCCCATAATTTAATTTCAAAGCAAAGGTTGTTGACAAGGAATGTACAAACCTTAATTTCTTAAAGTCATCACTGGTATTACTGTACACAGCATGTTCACTATACAAACCTTTCCAATTTATCTCATGTGACCTTTGGGGTTATGTGCTTGCTAATTAGGTCAAAGAAATGTTAAAGCAACAAGAAGATGCATTTCCTGACTAAAACATGTACTTCAAAATAGATTTTTGCAGTAACAAGTAATATAAAAATATATATAATAGAGTAAAATAACAAAATATTATTATGTATAACATTCCTGATGAGAGAGTACATGATGGTCGTGGTTAAAAACATGAGCTTTGGAGACAAAAGATGTGGGTTCAAATTCCAGCTCTGTCACTTACCATAGTTACTTAAAACTTTCTTACTGATGTGAAGTTGACTGTGCTACTTACTTCTCTGAGCCACAACTTCCTGAAAAGTAGATTGGGCCTTGAGATTCCTACCTCATATTTGGTTGGAAGAGTTAAATTAAATATATAAGTAATACAGTAACTCATCTGTATTTGGAAACACATCCAGAACCTGAGATGCTAAGTGCATAAGCATCTCATTGGAACACTTATGATCCCTTGTTATTATTTGATTCTTCACTTTCCTGGTCATTATTATACTAGGATAAACTTTCTGTTTCTGTTTCAGAATTTGGCTCCATAAAAAAACAAAAACAAAAACAAAACACAACCTCAGAGCAACTTGTATTGAAAAACTGCACCTTACATAAATCAGACACTATCTTTGTGCTTCAATATTCTAATGATCTTATTTATTTCCTCCCCGCACCACTCTCCCCACCCTGTAGCTCACAGTACCAAAAAGATAATTCTCTTGAACTATATAAATAAGTCACACAAGTGGGTACAAAGAAAGTATCAAAGGTCAGTTTATCTTGATAATGTTTTTTAGATCAAAAGAGTGCTGCCATTGGTAGAACATTTTCTCAATCATTTGTCAAATTTAGGGAATACAAGGCATTGTTTTTGCTAGCAGGGCCAGTTGAAATTCTGGACTTGAATAGAAGAAAGACTAAGGGAAAAAACTCACCTTAGGGGGTTAGATCTATCATATTCTCTCTTTCGGAAAAACTGCATTTTTGTATTAAAACTTGAAAAAGCCAAGAATTTTGATGTAGGAAGCTGAGTTCACGCTTCAGCACCACCAACTGACTGTAACCATAAATAAGTCACAGTTTTACAGTTTACTCATTTGTAAAATGGGTATACTGCTTAGTATGCCCCGCCTACCTAGTAGTTTTATCTTTAGATTTAAACGGTTATGCATGTGAAAATGCATGTTAGAAAAAAATCAAAGATTTGATAATTAGACAAATGGGTTTAATTCTCAGTTATAAGGTGTGTAACCTTTAGCAAGTTTGTTAACGTTTCAGCTTCAATTTCTTTCTTTATAATAGAGACAACGACTATTAGACAAGATTTTCATGAGGATTTCATGATGTCATATGTGAAAAATTTCCAACTGAAAGCCCTGTCTGCTACTTTATTAGTATGGTATTTTGTGTAGGAGTTTAGTAATAAATATTTATTGGTCACATAAATGGGAGTATTTATTTACATTTATTTCATTTAAATTTAGTGGGTTCAAATACAATATTATCTAAATTTAAAAAGCAAGAATGATTGGTTAAATGTCCATCCAGAGGAAATAATACACTATAGATGTTATTAATATTGTTATTATCATGAAAATATATTTGCCATATATTGTTAAAGAGTGAAGAACATAAAGAACATAAAGCAACACATATGGAATGCTCAATAAAACATATAGTATAACACCCAGTGCTCATCCCATCACGTGCCCTCCGTAATGCATGTCACCCAGTTACCCCAACCTGCCACTCATCCCCCCTTCCACAACCCTTTGTTTCCCAGAGTTAGGAGTCTCTCATGGTTTGTCTTCCTATTTTTTCCCCACTCAGTTTCCTTCCTTTCTCTTATAACCCCTTTCGCTATATCTTATATTCCATGTATGAGTGAAACCATATGATAATTGACTTTCTCCAACTGACTTATTTCACTCAACATAATACCCTCCTTTTCCAACCACGTCTGTATAAATGGTAGGTATTCGTCCTTTCTGATGGCTGAGTAATATTCCATTGTATACATAGACCACATCTTCTTATCCATTCATCTGTCGAAGTACATCGAGGCTCCTTCCACAGTTTGGCTATCGTGGTCATTGCTGTTGTGAACACTGCGGGGCAGGTGTCCCATCGTTTCACTACATCTGTATCTTTGGGGTAAATCTCCAGCAGTGCAATTGCTGGGTCGTAGGGCAGGTCTATTTTTAACTCTTTGAGGAACCTCCACACAGTTTTCCAGAGTGGCTGCACCAGCTCCCATTCCCACCAACAGTACAAGAGAGTTCCCCTTTCTCCACATCCTCTCCAACATTTGTTGTTTCCTGTTTTGTTCATTTTAGCCATTCTTACTGGTGTAAAATGGTATCTCATTGTGGTTTTGATTTGCATTTGCCTGATGACAAGCAATGTGCAATGTTTTTTCATGTGTTTGTTGGCCATGTGTAGGTCTTCTTTGGAGACAGGTCTGTTCATGTCTCCTGGCCATTTCTTGACTGGATTATTTGTTTTATAGGTCTTGATTACTAGCCCTTTATCTGATGTGCCATTTGCAAATATCATCTCCCATTCTGCAGGTTGCCTTTTAGTTTTGATGACTCTTTCTTTTGCTGTACAGAAGCCTTTTATCTTGACGAAGTCCCAGTAGTTCATAATTGCTTTTGTTTCCCTTGCCTTCATAGATGTATCTTGCAAGAAGTTGCTGTGGGCAAGGTCAAAAAGGGTGTTGCCTGTGTTCTCCTTTAGGATTTTGATGGATTCTTGTATCACATTTAGATCTTTCAACCATTTTGAGTTTATCTTTGTGTATGGTGAAAGAGAGGGGTCTAGTTTCATTCTTCTGCATGTGGATGTCCAATTTTCCTAGCACCATTTACTGAAGACACTTTCTTTCAGTGGATAGTCTTTCCTCCCTTGTCGAATATTAGTTGACCTTAAAGTTGAGGGTCCACTTCCGGGTTCTCTATTCTGTTCCATTGATCTATGTGTCTGTTTTTGTGCCAGTACCACACTGTCTTGATCACAGCTTTGTAATACAGCTTGAAATCTGGCATTGTGTTACCCTCAGCCTTGGTTTTCTTTTTCAACATTCCTCTGGCTATTCAGGGTCTTTTCTGGCTCCACACAAACCTTAGGATTATTTGTTCTGTGAAGAAAGTCCATGGTATTTTGGTAGGGATTGCATTGAATGTGTAAATTGCTCTGGATAGCATAGACATTTTCACAATATTTATTCTTCCAAACCATGAGTGTGGAATGTTTTCCCATTTCTTTGTGTCTTCCTCAAGGAATTATGTACATTCTAATCTTGGTTTGACTGCAAATCTTTAGGACATCCTATACAATACTGTCATTCTGGAAACAATTCTAATTTTTTAAAATAATAGCAAAATTGCAACATAGTGATTTATAATGCATGGTAGACTTTTTTTCCATATGAAAAATCCAATTAGCTTTCACTTCTATATATCTAGAAATAATTATTGGTCAAACTTTTACCCATTTCCCATAGTTCTTGTTACTATGGTTTTGAAAGGAAAAGAACCTAAGCATTCAATTACATCTAATAGAAAAATAGAGGGAAATTCAACATAGATTGATTATAGTTTGAAAGTTTTGTTTATTTGTGATAAACTTTAGCTTTCTCTAGCTTATTTGGTTTTTGCCTGGTATGTAAAAATTATGCTGCTTTTTACAGCTCAAATTAAAACCCAACATTCATGAGGTATTATTCTCTAGATCAGTTCCTAGCTGAAACTGAACTCAGTGAGATTTATGAGAACTTGAAAAATAATAAATTGGCATATTAGTTGTAAAATACAAGGAATAATTTCCTGTCTTTGCCAGATGATCCATTTGGATTAGTGCTTGTAAAAGTTCAACTACAGCTGTCTTCACTGAATTTTTAAATAATGAAATCATAACCCTTCTCACAAGAAGTTTATTAAACACTTCTTTGATTAATGTTATTGCTCACCCCTCCTGGGAAGTCAGATGCATAATCAATATTACAAGTTCCACCCCCCCCCCGTATTACTTGGAGAACTCCAGCTGCTAAATTACTTAATAGAAATGTATCGTCTAAATTCATGAACATGGTAATGCGGTTCAAAGTTTTTAATCTGACAGAAACTGAAATCTATCAATCAGCTTGTCCACCACTTTGTATACCAAGATTGGAGTGAAAGAGTTATTCATGGTCTAATTAATATCACCATAAGTAACAGAAAAAAAAGAGATCTTTTTAAGTCTTTGAATCTATTGGACATAACACTACTACAGTCTCTGAAATAAGTCCCTGAATTTTCATCAAATTACCTGAGTATAATAGAAGTGAGAGTGGCAGGAACACCCTATGGCTTACAGATCGGGAGAGTTTTATAAATGCCTGAATATGACAGGATCTGTGAGAAGCAGTGCAGCTATGGTTCAACATTATCAAAAATTCCATGAAATAGGAATAAAAAGGAGCTGATAGTAAGCCTGCAGTGGAGTTAAACAAGATATAACAGGGAGGTTTAGGTGGCTTCTGGCAAAACATAGAGTATAGAAATAAAGTAGAGACCCCAACATCAATAGTCTTGAGAGAAGTTAGGTGTGGTAGGGCAAGGAGAAAAGAAACCAACAGCACAAGGAAAGGTATTAGGTGTGTAAACATAGATATATACACAGAAGTGGAACAGCATAGTATTTAGGACGTGATATCCTTATTGAAATCCTCTCTCCACCTTCTAGCAGCCATGTGCCTTTGGGCAAGTTGCTTGACTCTCTGCCCCTCAATTTCTTTATTGACAAAAATAGTGATAGTGATAATAGAGTTCTTGGAAGAATTAATGAATTCATGTAAAGAATTTTATTTTATTTTTTTAAGAATTTTAAATAAGGGTAGGCACATATCAAATTCTCAATAAATGGTGATTTATATTACCTTTGGTTATTGCCCTCTTCTATTTGTTGTTGTTGTTTTACTTGTATTTGTAGTTCATCTGTTCCTCTGTCAGTTATTTGGAAGTAACTGAGCAGTAAGAAAATGAACTATATGTTCCCTCTACAATCTCTTCTGTGCCTCCAAACTGACTCTAAGAAACACAAAATAAGCTAGGTGCTGCCTTGGTACCAATTTAAAAGCAAAAGAGGAAAGAATACTTGAGACCTGAATTCTAGTTCAGGTTCTTTCACAGCCCGAAGCAGAGTTTGAATAAATCAACCTGTGTACATGTTACATTTTCATCTGCAAAATAAAGACATGGATCTAAAACATAGGTCCATAACTCAAAAGTCTATAGAGATCCAGTCAGAGATATAAATAAGTGTATAGTTCCAGTGTGAGATAACAGGTGGTAGTAGGGACTCTGGCAAACTGAAAAGGCTATTCCCTGATTAATGGGACCAACTGCCAATTCTCATCTAGCAACAACCATGAATTCACGTTTAGCGTCACCAATTTTTTTCTCTAAAGAAGCCAAAAATTCTTATTTTTATATGAAATGTTGAAATAAATTAATATATTATTAGGGCATACAAAACAACTAAAGACCTATCAGCCATCCATTTATCCATCCATTTGGACATTTTGATCCAAGTGACTTTCTAAAATTCTTTCTAGTTACCTTCCATTATTCAATTACAATGGGATACTCAAACAGAACAGCAGTTCCAATCCAAACCACACATTCTGTGGTCTAGTCAGTTACTCTTGCTTACAGAAAACATTTTTAATCCACGGCTATAATAATACATACTGAAACTTCTGCAAGTAAACTGACTGAGATCCCTTTTCTTACAGGATGAAATTTCTAATTGAAATCATCATGGGTTTACCTCTGATACTATTTACATCTAGAAGGTGAAACAAATAAAAAATGACTCTTCCGTTCTTGTTTGGTTCACCTACCTTCATTTATTTAGATGTAATTATAATATTTAGCCCCTAAAAAATACATCTGTGAAACATCAGCTTGGGTCTGATCCTGATTTAAAATCCTAGAGCAGGGCAGCCAGAGTGGCTTAGTGGTTTAGCGCCGCCTTCAGCCCAGGGCGTCAAGTCCCACGTCAGGCTCCCTGCACGGAGCCTGCTTCTCCATCTGCCTGTGTCTCTGTTCTCTCTCTGTGTCTCTCATAAATAAATAAATAAATAAATAAATAAATAAATAAATAAAGTCTTAAAAAAAAACTGACTTTGTACAGAATTGTTTGAACTAAAGTATGGTCTTTATTCTACCGTTTCATTTAACATGTGTTTATGACATAGTATTTATGATTCAGCAATATCCAAGCTGACACTATTTTGTTCCTCACATACAGTGCAGCAACAAATAAAGTGCACCTCTTGATGGATGCCAGTCAGACATGGTATATTTGAAGAAAAAAAAAACAGTGAGAAAGGTCACTAAATGTAGGAACAAATTAAAACATACTTTTGAGCAATAGGCCCTTCAGGGACTTTCCTTTTCAGTCCATATTTGTCTTAAAAGTCAATGCACACCTTTTAAATATCATGATTCACATCAAATTCTTTATACAATCATGGAAATGTAGTTTTGTGGTTGGAACAACAACAAAAAAACTAGAAATTTTAACTCTATTTGTTCTTGCAAGGGTAAAAATAAAATAATAACTGATATTTTGTGAATGAATGTTTTAAGTACCAAGCACTATGCTAAATATATCTATCATTCCAATTAAAACTAACATTAAAAACCTCTGAGATAAGTACTTTTATTATGCTCATATTAAAGATGAGGAAACTGGAGCATAGGAAAAGGCAAAGCAACTTGCCTAACAGTAAATAAAAATTTTTGAAGGCTAAAACCAACTGCACCAAAATAGCCAAGTGTGATTCCCTAGTCCATGCTTTTGATTACTATGTTAGACTGGCAGACAAATTAAGTCAGACAACTTAACTTCTCCAGAAATTTCCTGGTTAATCCAAGGATAAAGATCTTCTTTGCTTTCTCGCTAGATTTGTGATTTGAGTAGGCAAAGTATTGAAGAGACTTGACCAAAATATAGAAATCCAAAAAGAACATCTTTTTATCTTGTGTTGTGCATAGCTACCATAGTACATCATTTCAAAAATAAGGTAGAAGGAAGTAACACCTGACAAATTCAGGTGCAATGCTTGCATAGACATCACTGTTTATTATTTCCCCTTTCCTTTGTACAGAACCCAGTGCTGCTCCCACAGATGTCAAGGCTACAAGTGTGTCTGTGTCAGAGATTCTTGTTGCATGGAAACATATTAAAGAGAGTCTAGGAAGACCACAGGGATTTGAGGTATGAATACAATTATTGAAAATAAGCCTTGTTATTTCCACTGCCACTGCATTCTCCTAAAGAAATGGTTTGGTGACACTCCAAAAGAATTATATTCTTTTGAAATTTTTGTTCTGTGGCAAAGAAAGTGAGAAATATACTATTTTACTGACCTGTTCATTAGCTGGCTTATTTTTTAGTGTAGTAGTTTCCATATTACCATGTAAATAATTTTTTTAAGGAGATGAAAATAGACCTTCAGATAAAAATCAGGAGCTACAGGTGGATATTTATTGATATCCAACTTGTTGGTGGTTAAAAATGTTTTGTTTTTTGTTTTGTTTTGTTTTTTTTTTTTTGTAAAAGAAATGTTTTTTGTGTATTTCCTCCTAATACTTTAATGTATAAAACAAGCTTTCCTATTATACTGTCTGGGCAGATCTTACCTCTTATGCTGACTTCTCTAAATTTACTTGGACTTGGTGATCTATATCTATTTATTCAAATCACTTTTTGTCCTTTAAATTTTGATATTTGCAAACACAGTTATGCCAGCCTTATAATGGTAAAAATTTCATAACATTGCAATGACTTCAATGAAATTTTGGCCTCCACATGACCTAGAGCCTTATAGGTAGTCTATGAACTTGAATAGTCCATAAATTCTGATCCCTACTTTGTGTTTTAGCCAGTAAGGGATACGATTTAGGGGGATAATTTCTAAAAGACAAAAAATAATTAGCATCCAACCCAAGATATTAGTTCCCTTTAAACTTAAATAGTGACCAAATATAGGATTTGTACACCAGCATGGTTTCAGACTGAAAACACATTTTTTAATTCTACTTGAGGCTTTAAATAATGCTTGGAAAATATTTGATTAATATGCTGCTAACATTAGATAATGGTTTCTATGATAAAGAATTCACACAATCATTCTTAAAAGTTACAGGAAGGACCATTTTTGAAACTTTTATCTATGCAATGTCATGAATTTATTTTTTATAATGCTTCAATGTATTATTTGGGAGTCATAATTCAGTATCTTATCATGACTGGATATTTATTTAATTAATATCTCCTTGTTTCCCTATCCATGCTACAGGACCGTATCTATTCACCAATGAATCTCAGCAACCAGTAGTACTTGGCCCATGACAGCTACAATAAATATTTGTTGAATGAATGAATATCTATGCTTCACAATCAGCCCCTTTTAATATCACTATGGAAGACATTGGGGTAGCCTACCCTGCTCTCCTTCAGTGGGCCAGTTCACATCCCCCCAGCTTCTGCAAGTGTTGGCTGCTAGTGGTTTCAGTTTCTCCTTTGGAGAATTGCCCTTCACTGAGGGGTGCTGCTTTACCTGAAAAATTTCCTTCCCACAAGTAGGCAATCCAAAGCCAATGACTGACTGACACTGGTCCCTTGACTAAAAGAGAAAACAACTTTATGGTGCATTTTACAATGCAGAGCCTTTGCTGTGTGCATCAGACCAAGGCTGGATTGATTACCTGAGACCAGGTAATTAATCCAGATAATCAATTGCTCAGCTCCCTCTCTTTCCTCATCCTCCTCTCCTCCTTTCTTTAAAGGTTTGCCTGCAAGCACTTTCAAAATAAATCTTATGCACTCAAGTCTCTGTCTCAATCTCTGTTTCTGGAGAGCCCAACCTAAAACAACTACATAAGTATAGACTAACCTAGACTTCTGAATCAAAACATCTGGTGTGCATACTTTTAGAAGGGCACAAAGTGTATCTTTGGTGAACAAAGGAGCAAGGGATCCAGGTTTCCACAATTCAGAGTGGTATTTCTCTCACACAGCCAGTCACTCTCTCTTTTTTTTTTTTTCTACATGACATCCACATTCCCACTGTAACTCACAGTATAATAATAGCTCTCTTGGAGGTCCTGCAAACATCACATAAGATTTAAATTTGTGCACAATTATTCTCTTTCTAAATATAAATCATTCATTCATTAACAAATATTTTTTGAGGAATCACTAAGTATCTTTCAAACTTTAAACTAGATGCTAGGGATAAAACAATGAGCAAAATGATGTCTGTCCTCATGAAGCTCATATTGAAGTAGGAAAGGCAAATAATAGACAAATCAACAAATAAATGTGTCATATGATTTCAATTATAATAAATACTATGTAGAAAAATAAAATTGAATAAGAAGGTAGAGAGTGGAAGTGTGCTATTTATAAAGATTTGAAAAGTCACCCTTTCTGAGATTGTGACATTTGAATTGCAATGTAACCAAATGACAGTGAAAGAGGTAGAGACAAGGCAAACTCAAAGTCTCTAAAGTAACAGTATTCTGGCCTGTTCAAAGAACAGGAAGGCAGTGATTTGCATGAGATAGCAGTGAAGAACAGGGAGGGGATAGCAAAATGTTAGAAAGAGCACCAAGACAAGGACCAGATTATATGGAGTATTGTGAATCACAGAAAGGAGTCTGGATTTTATCCCAAGTATAAGGAGAAGGAATTAAAAGATTTTTGAACAGGAAGAGTCAAGTCAGTATCTGATATATTTTAAAAGTCTCTCTTAGTCTAGGGGGTAGAGAATAGACTCTAAACAAGATATCAGGGAGAACAGAGAAAGGTAGTTGTTCCAACCTAGGTGACAATGAAATTGCTTTTAAAAAAAATAATAATTTATTTATTTTAGAGAGAGGGAGAGGGAGAGAATGGGGGCGGGGATAGAGGCAGAGGGAGAGGGAGAGAAACTCAAGTAGACTCCTTGCAGAGTACAGAGCCTGATGCAGGGCTCAATCTCACAATCCATGAGATCACAACCTGAATTGAAATCACAAGTTGGATACTTAACCAACTGAGCCACCCAAGCACCCCAAACAATGAAGTTGCTTTTGACTGGAACAGTCACAATGAAACTGAAGGGAAGTGGACTTTTTAAAATATATTTTATATAGATGTATATTTTATATACATTAAAATATATTTTATATAGGTGTATATTTTATATAGATGAATTCATTGAAAATGAATTCAGTATGAACTAAGAAAAGGAAAGGAATAAAAAATATTTCCAGAGTTTTTGACCCAAGAAACTGAGTGAATAGCATGTCATTCACATAAGATGACAGAGAAAGAAGAGTGGGTGTTAGTGAAAAACAAATCTTGGATTCTGGTTTAAGTGTGTTTTAATTCTATGAGACTTTTATTTCACAAAAAACTTATCAAGTAGATCTAATGCCAAGAGAAAAGGTAGAGATGGAGATTTAACTACAAGGAATCATCAGTATATAAATGGTTTTTACGTATATATTGGCTGAGATCACTGATGTTGATAAAGAAGATGTTTCAGAATTGATGCCTGACCATTTGGAACTCAATAAAGAAAGACAGCCTGCTCAACAAAACTAAGGGAGAATTTCTGAAGAAATTCAGAAGCTAGGAGAAAAATTGTTCTACTGAGTGAAATGCTGCAGAAAAATTCAGAAAGATAAGGCTTGTGATTGCAAAATGGATATGGGAATGCACAGTACCTAGTGACTTTGGTGAGAGTTTTATGGAATGCTATGACCAAGGCTTGACTAGAGATCAAAAGCAAGACCATTAAGAAGTAATATTCAAAAGTATGAGAGCACAACATTTTTGCCAAATATATGTCATTTAAAGTGGATATGTATCCAAAAAATGGGAATATCCCTAAGAATAGAATGTTAATAGGAACCAAATTCTGGAATAATCATCACAATGACTGCATTTTAAATTCACGTAAATTAACAAAAATCCTGACAACTATTTTTACTTAGAAACACAAAATCCAAGACACAGCAACATTTATATTATTTTATAGTGCCTTATAAATTGTTTTTAAGAATATGGCATCTTGTCAAATCAAAACACCTACAATAGATAAGCAAAAAATAGAAATCTAAGCATAACACTAAAAAACCCTATCAAACCACAAACAAAGAAAGGAACAGAGAAGAACTGCATAAACAACCAGAAAACATATAACAAAGTAACAATAGGTACATACCTCTCAATAGTTACTTTAAATGTGAATGGCAGATGGAAAAGTAGGGTGTATAGTAAAAAAAGTACTAGGCTAAAATTCTATATTCCTTACTGTTATGATTTCTAATTTCATCATCTACCATCTACCATTTACCATCCTACTATATGCTGTCCAGGCTGGTTAAAAATACATAATCTTTAAAAAAAAAAAACTGAAATTTTGGGATGCCTGAGTGGCTCAGAGGTTGGGCATCTGCCTTTGGCTCAGGGCGTGATCCAGGGGTCTAGGATCAAGTCCCCTATCAGGCTCCCTGCATGGAGCCTGCTTCTCCATCTGCCTGTGCCCCTGCCTCTTTCTCTGTGTCTCTCATGAATAAATAGAGTCTTAAAAAAAAAAGGTGAATGGACTAAATGCTCCAGTGAAAAGGATTGAAAAAAGTAAGAACCATCTATACACTACCTACAACAGATTCACTTCAGACCTAAGGATACATGCAGATTAAAAGAGAAGGGCTAAAAAACTAAATACTATGCAAATTGGAGCAAAAAGAAAAATGGGGTAGCAGAGCTTCTATCAGACAAGATAGACTTTAAAACAAGAGACAAAAAAGAACACTACATAATGATAAAGGGAACAATCTAACAAAAGAATATAACAATTGTAAATATTTATGCACCCAACACAGAAGGACTTAAATACATAAAGCAGCAATTAACAGACATAAAAGAAAAAAGTGACAGTAATAATAGTAGGGGACTTTAACAGCCCATGTACATCAATGGATAGATCATCTCCATAGGAAATCAATAAGGAAACAGCAACTCTAAATGACACATTGTGCCAAATGGATCTAACAAAAATATTCAGAACATTCCATCCCAAAACAGAAGAGATGCATATTATCAAGTATACATGGAGCATTTTCTAGAATATATCATGTTAAGCCACAATAGAAGTCTCAATAAGTTCAAAAACATTGAAATTATGTCATGCATCTTTTCTGACCACAACACAAGAAATC